CTGTCTGTGTTTCCTGGGTGGAGCTCTTGCTCAGCACTGGCCCAGGGCTCAATCGTGAGTGAGGCTTAGACATCGGGCGATGGGATCAAAGGCGTGGTGGGAACTCAGGCACTACGAGGCTGACAGATTATCATCTATACCTATGAATTTTTATTATTCAGAAGAAGAAAGTGACCTACGACACACTGGGAATAGGTGGCAGAACCAAGGGGAGAAGCAGCCAGGGCTTCAGTCTCCCAAGTCCATTTTCTGCCTCTACAATTACCTAACCTACATCTACAGGGTCAGGCCCAAGGTTCCTGATGCCTACCTCCAACTGCTCACAAAGAAATGAATAAATAGAAAGATGGGGGGAGGGGAAGTGAGCAGGAAACTGCTCATTTAAGGAAAGGGAAACCTACAAAAACCAAATCACCTCATGTTTACGTCACTGATACTGGTCAGCTAGCTAAGAGCAAGGAAGTCAGTTCATTCCTAATTTCTCTATTTTTTTATTCCCATGAAATTACTCGGACCTCCTTCTGAAATGTATTATTCTCTGCTTGTGCCCATGAAGTGATGTGTATATGTTAGAGCAGGCAGATAAAAAGACATGCGCTGAGAGAGGCTGAGAGAGGCAGCTGGAGGAAATCAGTGCAAGATGTGACAAACTGAAAATAGGCAATGGAGGCAGTGGCCCCTCGGCGAGCAGGAGAGATTCAGAGCCCTCCAGGACGTGGTCTGCCCGATGGCATAACACCTAGTCCTAGATGAAGGAGCCTTAGAGCCTAAAGATACATTTTACTGAGGCACGAGGGAGGGGGTGACTTGCTCCTTGCCTAGGGGCGTTCCAATCCAGGGGTACAAATCCTCTGAACTCCCAAATATCGGGGCACTCGGGGCGGTCTCAGCCAGCTGAGCTGCCCGCTCAGGTCCTATCTGAGTGTATTTCTTTCCTATAAATAAATCCTCGTCTGTTTTGCTGTCTTAAGTTGTCTCTTGTTTGAATTCATTTCTACAAGCAAGAACTGGGGGCAGAGATGTTATCTCCAGCCAGAGATCCCCTTGACCACTGCTGACACGTATATAAATAATTTTAGATTTAATCACATAAAATTAAGCATATTGATAATTACTTAGTAAACTTTCACATAGATAGGCAGCATTTAAAAAATCATATCACTTACTTTAAGACTCATTAATTCAACAAAATATCTATGAAACGATGCTCAATAAATCCCTCCTATGAAAACTTACCCCCTCCCAAACAAGGAGCAGTCCCTTAGCACCTGGTTCCACTTTTCAAAGATGAGGAGAACTCCTCTTATTTACATGTGATAAAAACATGATGGAGGCCTTCAATCTCAGGCTGGTGAAAATGGACTCTGTTTGAATGAGTGTTGAACCAAATGATTCCTAGCACTTCCTCGGCCTTCATCAGTGCACACTGTAGTGGGGTTAAGCAGCAGCTGTTGCCAAAATAGGCCTCATTTCCTCCAAGTGCTGCTTCAAGGTACAGAACATGAAGTTGTAAATACATCTGTCTTTTGCCATTTGTAGTTCTACTGGCCTTGTGCATGTCTTTGAGTAAGACAGATGGTCCCTGACACCACACAGGCTTCCAGGGATATATATTTCCAAAAATAAGAGGGCAGATGTGAAATATGGGTGAGTACACATTTTATTCCCTGAAGGTTTGAGTTGAGACTGCCATCTCCATTTGGTTATTTAAATATAGGATATAAGGCAATCCTTAGAGATCTCTGTGCTAGAAATACAACCTTTTATGCTTATTTTATGCCTTTATGAAAATATCTAGGACATGGGACAAATAAATGTTGATCTAACCTAAGGAGGTATATAATTTTACTAGATAAATTATCAGGTACATTGGAAGTAGTCACAGAACATACATGTCTATACATGAGAGTGCTATGTTCTCTTTCTACATCACCCATGTCTGATATTTCTCATTACTTACATTTTTTAAATGCTTGCAAAGGGATTTCATAGAAGCAAAGTTAAGAGTAAATTAGAATTTCCAGAATGAAAAGAGACCTGAAAAATGAAAAGCCCATTGGCTCATCACTCTGGGGACGTTAATGTGTCGATCAAGTCTCAGTAAGCACAATGAAACTGAGTGGAAATAATGCAAAGGAGCTAAGGGCCGTCTTGAGAACTGGTCATAGTAAAAGTTTTAAAAATGAAAATAAAATAGAACCTTTCAAATCTAATGGGATGAAATATAATGAAACAAAATATCTGGGATTTGCCTCAAATATCTGCATATGTCAAACATGAAAATTCAGGGAATGTGTTTTGTTCTTGCAAAACAAGTATTACTTTCGGTAAGGCACACACATGCATTTCAGTGTAAATGCTAAATGTTAAAGTGATGAAACCACATATTACATTCTGAAAATTCTATACTCAAATGTTCGGGTGAATCGTAGGGAGAGAATAAGGGAAGTCGCAACAGCAATTTCCGAATATAATCAACAAACTCTTCAGAAGGTGGCTCAGGGGCACGAAGTCTGTAAGCTGGCAATAGCCCAGTTACGAACACTACCACTGAGGCGCCCACGGGTGCCTGGGATCTGCGCCAACAGGAGGGGAACAAACAGCAGCAAGAAAGAAAAGAGCCCGGTGGGGAGGGGACGACAGGAGGGGGCGATGGGGGCGCTGAAGTCACCACAGACGCAATATAAAAACTGAACTAATAAAACGAGCTCAAGATCTCTTCTCTTGACCGTGTACTATGGTTTTATAAGAGAATATCCTTGTCCTTAGAAATGACATACTGAAATATGTAAAAATAAGGGGCTACTAAGTCTACAGGTTACTCTGAAACAATTCAGGGAAGACCTGGGGGTGCAGACGGCCGGAGAGAATGCGGATAAGGAATGTGCGAAACTGTTAACACTGGGGAATCGGGGTATAAAGGAATTCCTTTTACCGCTCTTGCAACTTCTTTCTAAGTCTGAATCTCCTTCAAAATCTTAAATGTTCTCTCCAAACACTTCAATACAGGACATGCTAAAAAGAATTCAAAAGCTTGGCAAAAATAATATGGTTTCATAACTGAGACGGGCAGTCTAGTAAATAATAACGCTACATATCTCACGAATACTGATTTCAAAGCATGTCATCCAAATTCATATTTTTAACTCATTAATAAGTAATTGTTAAATTATAATATGAGAGTCTAATATACATGCTCTAAAAAAATCTAGGAATTGTCATCGAATTTTTAAAGAGAAAAGGATACTAGACGTATCGGGGCGATCGTTTCATAAGTTATATAGATGTCTAGCTACTACGCTATATATCTGAAACTAATATAATACTGAATGTCAATTGTAATTGAAAAATAAAATAGAATAATTTTTTAATGAAAAGGAAACAAAGAATTAACCTAAGTTCATTAAGGATGGCAGCATAGGAAAACACTAGATGCTTCATAGTTTCTACCTATCTAAGGGCACAGAGAGAGTGAAAAAGAGTGAGAGATTTTATCTTTTTATTATGGAAAATTATAAATATATACAAGAGCAGACTCACTTTGAATTAAATTCCAACATCGTATGATTTCATGTGTAGAACCTGTCACTATAGAGAAGCTTATTTGAAAGAGTTAGCTCTTTGCATTATAAAATAGCATAACTCTTGTTTCAAAAATAACAACCATAAACACTAGAAAAAAATCTAAAATTAATTTCAAGAACAACAATTTTGAATATTCCTTCACTTAGGTTCAGGAAAGACACACAGACACTCCCAAGCAGAACTGTACAATGCTGATTTGGGACCTAGGTTTGCTGTACTTTTCCTCTTTTCCCCTTAATATGCAACAAACAATTTTATTTCTACATTCAGCAAAAGGATCATTTTATATACAAAAACCACTCAACTAGGGAGAGGGTTAATTTCTGTGTTCTGGTAAAATCTGTACCTCAAAGGCCTCATCCCTAAGAATGAGTATTTCTTCTCACAAAACTGACCTTTGCAAACACTTTACTATCTAGCAAACATATTAAGACAGCCAATAATTAACCTATGCCTTTTGTTGGAAAGGCCCTAAAGATTATTCAAAGCCAAGATAGGGTTTTCTCCTCACTAGTTGAATATAGACTTTTGAGATAGTTGTTCCATTTCAAATTAGGTTAAATCTGAGGATTGCTTATTGATGAAAATAGGTAATTTGCCTATAGACATAAATATATTTTCTGGTACAAATGGGAATTCAAAGTTAATACACAATTGAATATCTAATGATATCTTAGACACAGCATTTTATTTTCAGGAACCAAAAGAAGTGATAATTTTCTATTTCTAACAGATAAGAATTTTTTAAAATTTTAAATTTCTAAAATATACACAAAGCTATGAATTGAGGTGGATCATCAAGTCTTTGAGGATGTTAATGCCCAATCTTGAGAAAAGCCCAAATCTTAGGACTTTGGCTTTTGAAAACTACCCATTTTTTTCACATTGTCCTGACACTAATGACAAATTATTGTATGTAAATTATACCTCAGTATAGATGATTTTTTTTTAAAGTATTAGAAACATGGTTGTCATCTAAAGTTCTCTTCTTAGAATCNTTTTTTTTAAAAGTATTAGAAACATGGTTGTCATCTGAAGTTCTCTTCTTAGAATTTGTGTCAGTCAAAATTTGGGAGTCACTATAAATCCAGATCAAGAAACTGAAACTGTACTTTCAGATGAAGCCACAAGGCAGCAAGTATAAGACTAAGTAGCTAGATCTGGTTTTTATTAGGCAACACTCGTTTTCACAACTTGTCACTGCTTTGTTTTTTCTATGACTGTGTGCGTACAGGGTTGTGTGTAAGTGTGTTTGTGCATGTTCTATGCTTTGTACTTAATCTGCTGCCATTAAGTGTCATATGGGCTGGAAATGAAAAACATAAGCAAAACCACCCAAACAAAAAGTATGTTTTATTTCATGCATTCAATCCTCTCACACAGCTATTAAAGAAGTGTCAAGCCTGAGGCCTTACCCTGTTCGTTTGGTGATGGTCCCCAGCGTCATTGGCTGTTTGATTTGTGCAAGAGGCATCAAGACCATTAAGCTGGGGAGAGGAGAGAGCCGAGGGTTGCCCGGGTTGTTGTTGGCAAAATTATTGTAGGAGTCTTGGCTGTTTAGTTTTCCTACAAAAAGAAAAATAAAGAAAAGCATCACCAAGGGAAGTTTCCTTTTCTCAGAGGGTTTATACTAACTCCACTAATCATTTAAGAAAGTTATCCCAGGCAGAATTGGCTCTAAGAGAATCATGACTATATGGATAAGGGAAAGGAACAGTGAATACTAGTTACAGCAGGTGTGACGTGATCATAAATAGAGACTTGAGTCTTTGGGGATGGAGGAAGAAATGATACCCAACTGGATAGATGTTAAATGGTTATACCAATAATTAGCATAAAATTTAATTATAATGTTACGGTGTTATAAAGCAATGCAGAGGCCCCAGCCGGTTTGGCTCAGTGGTCAGGGTGTCAGCCCGCAGACCAAAGGGTCCCAGGTTCAATTCCAGGCAAGGGCATGTACCTCAGCTGCAGGCTCAACCCCTGGCAAAGACTGAAACATGAGCGGAAGGCAACCAATCGCNAGGGCATGTACCTCAGCTGCAGGCTCAACCCCTGGCAAAGACTGAAACATGAGCAGAAGGCAACCAATCGCTGTGTCTCTCACATTGATGTTTCTCTCTCTCTCCCCCTTCCACTCTCTCTGAAAAGCAATGGAAAAGATATTCTCCAGTGAGGATTAAAATATATATATATTTTTAAAAACATAAATACAGAGTAATTTTAAGGTATGAAATGTACTTTTAAAAATATATATAATAATGAAATGAAATGAAACAAATGAGAGCAGATGAAATAAAAAAATCTCCAAAGTTTAAATGAAGTTTACCAAAATCTTACAAATATGGGTTTAGGACTTTTTTCCTGTTTGTTTTATAACCAGTGCCCTCAAAATATTACCTTTAATACCTATCACTCTAATAGTATGATACTTGAAGCTTGAAATAAGGCAAGACCCAGGATCTCTCTCACTTTTTCCATTTAACTGATATCCTGGCCTAATGACACGTTTTAAGCTACATTTCGTTGAGCTGAAGCGTTAAGCCAAATTGTACCGCTTCCTTATCATAAACAGAAGTCAGCATAGTCACTGAAAAAAAGGAGACCAGACTATGACCAGGGAACAAACTCGCATAACCCCTGTTCGGTCACCCTTTTCCAAGGAAGCATCTCTGAAACAGCACATAATGGCTTTTCAGACGACTGGAGACAGGAAAGGAACAGGGGGCAATGGTCCTGAATGCCTCTCCCCTCTGAAGAGTCGGTGGTGCGACGCCCTTCCTCGATGGTGCGCAACCCCTAATGCCCCTCGCTACTTTCCCACGCACCCCGGAGGCTGGTGCAGTTCGAGTTCAGTTTTGCATCTGGAGGGGGACGAGTTGAGGTTCGCTGTGTTCACTGCCTTGAAAAGGGCCGTCCAGACGGAGGAGCGAGCGGGCAGGGAGCAGATGTGCGGGGCCTACGCTCTGAAAGGTGGGCGCACTGTGAGGAGGGCAGGAGAGGAGAGACGGCCTGGGCACGAGGGCCACGCGGAGAGCAGGGGCGGGAGGCACGCTCGGCCTGGGCCGCAGCGAGGAATCCGACTGGAGATGCAAACGGAAAGTGCGGGAAGACAAAGCGATGGCAGGGTTAGAAAACTCTTCCCGCGGAGGCAGCGCAGGGAGAGCTCAGGTAAGTTCTTCAGCAACGGGACGGGGCACGTCCTGAGATCATGAACTTCAGGGTGGGGTGAGCGGTCTAGAGAAACGAAGGGACTCGCTGAGCAGCTCCGGGGCTTACCCTTCGCTGGCCCGCCAGGATCGAGGACAGCCTCACAACAGTGCAACAGATGCTTCAGACCTGTCCCTCCCGGCCTGCGACCGTGCTGTCGAGTGACACCCAGCATTTACGGGAGCTCACCCTTGGTGTCTGAGTTTACGATGTGGCCTCTGGAACCCAGCCCAGCTGAAAGGGTGAAGGAGGCTGGGTGGGTTTTATGTTCGTGAGAATAGAGGTAGTGTCTGTCTTACGCAGCAGTCCCCCTGATCCGAGGGGGATACATTCCAAGACCCCAGTGGATGCCTGAAACCGCAGACAGAACCATACTCTACATATACCAGGTCTTTTCCTACACATACATAGCAATGATAAGGCTTAATTTATAAGTTAAGCACAGTTAAGAAATTAACAGTAATAATAAAGTATAACAATTACAACAATATATTATAAAAATTGTGTGCCAGTGGTCCCTCTCTCTCAAAATATCTTACTGTGCTACATACACAGCACAGATATGCTGGACAAAGGGAATAGTCTCGACCCAGGCAGGACGAAGCGGGAGAGTCCATCACACTAGTCAGAACAGCGCGCAATTTAAAATGTATGAATTATTTCTTTTTGGAATTTTCCACTTAATATTTTTGGAACGAAGTTGACTGCAGGTAAGACAAATCGCAGAAAGCAAGACTGCAGGTAAAGGGGGACTGCTGTATTTTACTGGATATGGCAAGCAGCTGATAAAGACAACTTTAATGGAAGAATAAACGTGTTAATAAAATGGTCAACAACGGCAAGGTTCAGGAAGGCAAACAGAGAGAAAGCCTCTAACTCTGCTCATCTCCAGTAGGGCAGTCTCAGGAAAGAGGTAAAACAGTCCAATGAAAGGGATAAGAAAAGGGGACACTGACAAAACTGGTAAAGATAACGGACTCAGGACACAGAGTTGAGGACTCTGTGGCTGAGAAGACGACACTGACAAGACGAGGCCCTGTAGCAGCAAAGGTTTCATTCAACGTTCATTCCTTCCCTGCACACTTTTTGAACCCGCTGGTATGAGGCCCTGCTCTAGTCCTGAATGAGTAAGTCCAAGGGACTCCTAAAGAATTCGTAACTTAATGAGACAGAAAGATAATTTATAAACAAAAAATGTTTAATGGAAGAAAACACGCTAACAAAGGTATCTGCCAAAGGTCTCAGGAACAAAATGGAAGGAGACGTTTTTATTGTTATTGTGTTAAAGGTCAACTTAAAAAGGGAGATAAGGTATAGAAATTTTGAGCATAGAGGAAAGAATTCGTATCATCTTACCTTTACTTTTCTACTAAGAAGTTAGAGGGTAAGATGAGAGATACGTGGATCATTACATCAGGAGTTAGGAAAATCAGAGAACTAGCTTAGACAAGAATCTCATTAGCTGATGCAGAATGATCTACGTGTAAAAAAAAAAGCACACTAAAAAAAACATCAAATTTAAAAGTGAAGTTCATACTCAATAAATCAAATACACAAAAGTTGTACGATGATCCTTTCTTCCTATTTCTATTGCTCAAAATCTTTGGCTACAAGTTATTTTGCACGATCTCCTGTGTCATGGATTTTCTTTGCAAATGCAGCTAGAACCTAACAAACGTCCAGATTTACCCTCCACAAAAACTGGAGACCACTCCAGAGCAGGGGCCGTGTCTCACTAACCACTGACAGCTCAACAAACGTTTGCTGACTAAATGATGGAAATATATTTTGTTCCCATATCCAGGAAGTTCAGGAAAACTTAGCCCTGCGAGCTGCAGAGAAACAACTCTGGAGGGGACTCAGAGGACGTCAGAGGATAGCCAGATGCTGGAATCCATGGCTTTCACTACTCTGCTTAGTCTCATGTTGACTAGGCTGGGAGCCGAACTTTGATCACTTTAAGGACAGATCTTCAGGCGCTTGCTTACGGTTCTATCGAGGCTCAATTTCCAGTCCAGAACTTTTCCTTAAGGGTTCAGCAGGAAGAAACTTGTAGCATCCCAAGTCTTGCATGTGACTTGGTCTGTCCCTCTGTTTTATGCTTCAGTTTCCCTTTGGACAGAGAGACAGTAGCACCGTTTCTTTGCTGCACCTCCCAGGCATATGTATATGGTAGTAACAGTAAAATTAAAAATTTTGAGACCAAGGAAGAGTCACTACATAAATTTTACACATAACCTTCACTAACGGATCTTTACGAGACTTTTTTTTTTTCCCAGTATACAAGTACATTGAAAATAGCAGAGGTTGGTTAATTGTAGCTTTAGTAGTGGGATTCATAAAACCTTAAAATAGATGTACTATCTCACACCCCATTATACTTTCAAATTCCAGCTGGGACAGGACCTGTAAGTGACAAATGTCACGAGAATGGATATTCTCACAGTATTTCTGGCACATCCAAACAGAGGAAGTCCCAAAGATCTCATGAGAAAGTAAGCTCCTCTAAGACTCCCATCCCAGTTTTTTGGGTTTACTCTATATAGATAAACTTCCACAAGCCTCAGGCTCTCAGGTCTTTATCCAAATCCACTAGTGCTTTGATCCTTAGGGTTTACCAGTCCCCACGATAGACGGAGCTCCTTTGGGGGAAGGGGGAATTTCAAGTTCCAATAAAATGGTTTCTCAATAAATTAAAGCAGCAGTTCTATGTGAAAATAGGAAATCATGTGAAAGTCAGAATTTATAAAGCATCTCTTGGTGTTTAAAGCTATGAGGCTGTGTTTGAGCTTCAGTTGTTTATGTTATTATTGTTTTTAATGTTACAACAAAGCACTAAACCAGAACAGTTCACATCGGGGTTTAACCACTGACTTTCTGTCTTTACTTGAACAAGATTGCATTTTTTAAAAACCAATTATGAAAACAAGCTCATGTGCTTCTCAAAAAAAAAAGTTTTCTACCTTTTCGATGACGAATACCTGCAGATGCCTCATACACTAGGGGAAGGAGCTCTCCGCGCCCGTGTTAATACACGGCCCGCCGTCTGCGCGCGAGGTCGACGTGGTATGGAATCTGCTTACTACAAGTTTTGGCAACTCCAAAACGCCAACTTCTCGTCTACCTATTGTCCCAAAGTTTGTTTTCCAAGACATTCCCTACTACAGAAACACGAAGGAAAATGGGTTAAGTGGAGGGTAAAGGCAAAGACTGAGACTAACAATGGGCTTTGTTGCTCCGCTGGAGAAACCGCCTGTCAGGTCGGCTTTGCAGAGAGAGGCATATTCCCAGACCAGTCATCATTAACGGACTCACTTCCACAGGAAAAAAAAAAAAGACAGAGTCTGAAAACTCCG